GCCCAGAGTTGAGCAGGGCGTGGAGCCATGCCATCCCTGACCCCCCCAATCCCCTCGCAGGCGTCCCCTCCGCCCCCCGCAGCGTCATCTCCAACGTGAACGAGACGTCGCTAGTGCTGGAGTGGAGCGAGCCACAGGACACGGGCGGGCGGGATGACCTGCTCTACAACGTCATCTGCAAGAAGTGCAGCGTGGAGCGGCGCCTCTGCACCCGCTGCGACGACAACGTGGAGTTCGTGCCGCGCCAGCTCGGCCTCACCGAGCGTCGCATCTACATCAGCAACCTGATGGCCCACACCCAGTACACCTTCGAGATCCAGGCCGTGAATGGCATCTCCAGCAAGAGCCCTTACTCTCCCCATTTCGCCTCTGTCAACATCACCACCAACCAGGCAGGTCAGTGGGGCTGCCGGCGAGCAGGGGCTGGCTCTCCGCCGCAGAGCGGAGCAGGGATTTCTCGATGACAGCTTTGGAGGCTGCAGTTCTTTGTGCTGTTACGTTCCTGGCTCTCCAGGCCTGCATCTAATCCCCTGGGTAAATTCTCCTCTCCGTTTTAACGCGTGTCCCCGGAGGAGATGAGATCAGAATGAATGCAAGCGGAGAAGGGGCAGGGTTGGCAGATGCTTTGGAGAGCTCTGGATCTCCTAGACCTACCCCAGAGATGTGCCTGCTGCGAAGGGAGGAGGAAGGAAGGAAATGGGATTTCTCCCCTGTGGGCCTGAGAAGGTTCAGCACCAGCCCAAACCTTCACAGCCAGCCGAGTGCTCTGCCATTCCCTCTTTCCTCTTGCTCTGGCCTGGATCCAGCATGCTGGTAATCTCCGGCCGCTGCGCTCTGATCTGATTTCACGGGTCTCGTCGGTGGGGTGGAGCACAAAGCTCCTGGAAAGCAGAGGAAGGGAGAGAGCCCTAGTTTGGGCTGACAGGGCCCTTCCCCAGATCAGTTTGCAGCTTGGTGTGGGGCGAAGCATTACCTTGGTGCTATTTCTGAGGCTCCTCTTGGTCTCTTGTCACCTGAGGTGCAAGATGTTGATAACACACCTCCCTATGGAGACCTGTTTGTGGGAGGCTGGTCTCAAAGCCTTTCTGTGCTTTCCCACCAAGGTTATGTGAGCAGGTCCCAGGCAGAGCGTCCCCTACACCAGCACACGATGGTGGAGGGGGCAGCCTGGCACAGACAGCTCATTCCTCTCCTGCCCTCTTCCCTAGCCCCATCGGCTGTGCCTACGATGCACCTGCACAGCAGCACTGGAAACAGCATGACGCTGTCATGGACTCCTCCGGAGAGACCCAACGGCATCATCCTTGACTATGAGATCAAGTACTCGGAGAAGGTAAAGCAGGAGGCAGAGCAGTCTTTCCTCTCCTCCAGCCCTTCTGGTTGGCTGTCAAACCCATGGCAAAGGGTGTCCCTGCTGAGATAGCTCCTGGGGGACATGGGAGCCAGCAAAGGGGGGATTGCTTCACAGAGGTGACACC